CTTGTAAACATTGTTGTCTATTCAGGTGGAGATGGACGGGAAACAGGTACTGCAATTTGGCCGAATAGAAGGTGGCGCATACACGCTGGATTTCCGTCGGCCTTTTTCTGCAACCCAAGCGTTTGCCGTTGCTCTTGCCAGTATAACACAAAGACTAAAATAAACATCAATGTCTACCCGTAAACTGCCTCTTCTATTCCTCCTTCACTAACTTATGTGCACAATTTTCACTTGACATATTATGGCTAACCGTAGTTATTCATCCCCGGAGTAGTTGTATGTCGCTGACCCCTTCGAGTATAATCCGTTCCTTCCATACCAATACGATCTAGTGCCCAAAAACTCAGTATCGGTTGTGATCGTGACTACCTGCGAGTATTTATTGTTGTCCTCCGTGTTCACAATCTGTGATGTCACTACCGTTCGTGATGATTGCTAAGATTATGGACTTCTATACTGCCTCCTGTTCAGTTCAGTTCTGGGAAAGCATTCATCGTTATCATCTCTGCTTCTTTTTACTCCTCTTTTGATTCTGCGCTGTCACTGTCGCACCGCACCCTCGCTTGTCCGTCTATTCCGTCGTTGTGATTCTTTTTTTATGCATATGAATTGTATTCGTGCTTCTTTTCAGTTGCGCTTGTTCAACCATTTCCATCAGATATCTATATTTCTTTTAATGGGTCTTCAAGGCAGATGTAGTTGTTTCAAATTTCTTTTATGATTCTTTCATTTAGTCTTCAAATGATCGTACTGTTATCCTCATTAGGATAATGTTTAAATGGATGTTTCTGTCATTGTGTACATATTTTTCAAAGCAAATGAAGATTCGATTTGAGAAGTCATCGTGGGTGCCTGTTCGGTTCCTTCCAATGAATAATGCTGCAAATCGTTAGGTCAGATGTCCAGGAGTCGGAAAATGGTCTAGGTAGGGCGTTATAAAGGCTCAAAGTTCGTGTAGACGCGGGGGAGTTTCAACGGCGTTATGGAGGAAGTTTGCAAGGGAACTTATGTAGGTCGAAGGTCGAACAGCATGTCCCATAGCGACAGCGAAAGGCATTTATGGCAGTTTTGGCTTGATGTAGTCAGTCCTCTGCAAAATTGTGGCAACTGAACTCGTCCAAATACCCCTTCTGTGTTATTTCCTTCATGGCAATCTCGTCCAACTCTTTTTTCACTACTTTTGAGAAGCCTTTTTTTTATCGCAAATCAAAGAATTTTCTCGCTTCCTTCACCATC